ATAATAAAGTTTTTTTTAATTTAATTTTTTTCAAATTAAAAAAAATGTCATTTTTTTTTGCCAGAACCGTAGTTGATCTTTCAAGTTAATAATATAAATAATTTTAATATAAAGTTTAATTTTTTGAATTAAAGAAAAGTTTTTCAAGAAAAAAATATAGTTATTTAATAAGAATTGTATATTAGAAAAAAATGAAATAGAAAGAACTTTAAAAAAAATTTATAAAAAAGTAATTGCTATAAGTTTTTTTTTATATAATTCAAGAAAAAGCAAAATTTTAAACATGTTTTTCTTTGATCAGAAGTCTTATTCCAATATATTAATATATTTTTTGATTTCCTTAAGGCACTTGTAATGAAAATAAAGAAAATATAAAGGGTTTTTGAATATTGAAAGATAAAAAGATAAAAAGATATTTGTTTCTTTAATTTTGAAAGAAAATTACTAAAAAAAAAATTTTTTTAAAACAATTATTGACAACTAGTTTTTATTATAGTTTTTTTTTATGTTGAGCAAGGCCTCACTAGTTGAAAAAAAAAAAAAAATTATTTTGCAAATTTGTAGAATTACTTTATTGACAAGTGTTCTGCAACTTCAAAAAATAAATATTTAACAATGAATAATCAATGGATAAATATTGTGAACGCCGAGGAAATAAATAATTTTTCAATGAAATTTCTAGCAAATACTAGAACGATTCACGTGATCAGATTTAAACTTTTATATTTAGATGCTCGCAAGAAGATTACAACGTTATTTCAGGAAATATGAGTGTAAGTGTGCAGCTACTTCTTTTTTAGTCTTTGAATTCACATAAATATTAACAAGAAATTATCCGCGAAGGAAAACTATAACATTTTCTAAATTAAATTGTTTCAGGCCGAAGAATTTAAAGCACAAGGGAATGCAGCATTCTCCGCGAAAGAATACGTGAAGGCTATAGAACTATTCACGAAAGCTATCGAAGTAGATCCTTCAAACCACGTACTTTACTCAAATAGATCAGCTTCTTATGCGTCATTGAAACAGTATGACAAAGCTTTGGAAGACGCCAATAGGACCATTGAACTGAAAAAAGATTGGCCAAAGGTATTTTTTGTTTTGCAATGCGTGTATTTTTTCTTTCATTCTTTTCAAAGCCTGATTTGTTTTGATTACACCTAGGGGTATAGCAGAAAAGGTGCAGCTCTCCACGGTCTCGGTAGACGTGAAGAAGCTCGTGCGACCTACCAAGAGGGTCTTAAATGCGATCCAAATAATGCTCAATTAAAGAAGGCTCTTGAAGAGATTGAATCCGACAGTAAGTAACGTAGCCGTGAGTCAGTCTTTAGAATTTCTCTAACAATTACATCAATACCATTCTTTTTAAATGGAGTTTAACAATAAACGGTTTATTATCGGTTTCCATTGGTAACAATCTTTTTGCAATAATTTTAATAGGTTTCGCGGCAAAGCTTTTCCCTGATGATGTGTTGGTCAAGATTGCCTTAAATCCAAAATTAAGACCATATCTTGACCAGCCAGATTTTGTTGAGAAGATCAAAGCAATACAAACTGATCAGTCTCAATTGAATATGTAAGATAATGATCAAATTAAAGTCATATCAGTTCTTCTAAATTGTAATAACTTTAACCACGTGTACCATTATAGACACCTGCAGGATCCTCGCATAAAAGAAGTATTCTTATTTTTGTTGACAGGAAATGTGAATTTCGAATCAAAGGACAGAGATGTACCAGAGGTATATTAAATCAATTCAATTTTGCAAGTACTACTCATCAGTAAAATCAGGCAACTTACCCTATTACGATCATGTATTTGGGTAATATTATTAGAGTGAGATTAAAGCAGAATCGACAAAACCTTCAGAACCAGAACCAGAACCTCAAAATGTCTCTGAATCAGAACCAATAGAGAAAACTGAGGAAGAGCTCAATAGAGAGGCCGCAACAAATGAGAAAGAACTTGGTAATGCGGCGTACAAAAAGCGTGAGTTTGAGAAAGCCCTAGAGCATTATGGTAAAGCTCAGGAATTAGACCCAACAAACATTACTATTTTAACTAATAAAGCTGGTAAGTAAATAAATGTTGGATCTTCGAACAAATTTTAGATTTTCATGCTAATGTTTATAAATTTAGCTGTATTATTCGAGCAAGAAAAATATGAAGAATGCATTAAAGTATGTGAGGAGGCTATTGACATTGGCCGTGAAAATCGTGCCGATTATAAATTGATCGCCAGGTAATATTTTATTAGTTATATTACTATTTTTACACTAGCTGTTATCCAGATTGACGCGTCTATTAATATTATTTTTACTTATTCAGAGCACTTGGGAGAATTGGGAATGCTTATGTTAAACTCGGAAAACTTGACGAAGCTATTAAGTTTTATAATAAATCGTTGACAGAACATCGTACTCCCGATATACTTAGCAGATTGAATGAGACTCAGAAAATGAAAACAAAATTAGAGAAAGAAGCATATCACAATCCAGAGCTTTCAGATCAGGCACGTGAAAAAGGAAACGAACTTTTCAAAAAAAGTGACTTTTCCGGTGCAGTACAGCAATATACCGAAGCAATTAAACGTAATGAAAAAGATCCGAGAGCTTATAGTAATCGCGCCGCCTGCTATACGAGGCTGATGGCCTTTCAAGAGGCACTGAAAGATTGCGAAACTTGCATTGGCCTGGATCCTACTTTCGGTAAGTCTCTTGTATTGAAGTTGGTATGGTTCAAGGGTGCTTTCTTTCATATTCTGAATATTTCATTTGAATGCATAGTCAAGGCTTATATTCGCAAGGCGGCGGTGGAATTGTTAAAGAAAGAATACTCAAAATGCCTAGAAACATGCGAAACGGCATTAAAGCATGATACAGATGGCAAGCATGCCGCAGAAATTAATTCACAGATTATGAAATGTCGTACAGAAATGTACCAAAACGATTCGCAAGAAAGTGTGGAAGAGGCACTTCGTAAGGATCCGGAGATTATGGTATGTACACTTCCGCAAGGATATGCTAAAATTATGATAGGGAATAGTTGATTTTTATCTAATTTGATTTTTTCTTAATAGAAAATTCTTCAGGATCCTGTAATGCAACAAATTTTACAACAAATTCAGGAAGATCCAAGGGCTCTCAGAGAGTAAGTTCAAACATTTTATGTTAAAACCTGGGTTGCGTTGTAATAACAATCTTTATTTGCTTTTAAAGTCACCTTAAAAATCCAGTTGTCGCAGCAAATATTCAGAAGTTGGTCAACGCCGGTGTATTAAGGACTGCATAAGCTGTACTATTTCTTCGACTAATAAATTATAGGTTTGTACATAATCTGAAGGCATTTTTCTTTTTCATCGAAGTCACTTATAACATTTGGGTTATAATTGTGTATTTATTTGCAGCTACATTTAGTAAAATAAATATAAAAATTATTCTTTTTGTATTATTCATTTTAGCTCACTGTTTAATTTTTGTACAAACGTTTCCAAACTGTAAATGTTACTTTATGCAACTATTAATGCGTTCGCTCAATATTGCAAGCAAATTTAATGATAAATCGATTGTTTTGTTCATAAATTTACAAAAAAAAAAAAAAAAAAAAAAATTTTGAAACCGTACATCTGTTATAATAATAATAATAAATAATATAATAATAATTTTAATCAAAGTTCCTTGCCAAAATTTGAAATTACTGTCGTTTTTCAAGTGATACCAGCATTTGTCAACGAAATGATGTACGCATTTCAAAAAGGCGCTACTTGTTCATCCGCAAGTTGCGGACAATTTTATAAAAGAAACATCTATTATGAAGATCTAACGTTTCAATCCAATATCGCGTTTTCTAATTATTATTCTGCTTCGGCGGAAATCAACTTACTTTTAAACAAAGAATAAAAGAAACCAATGAAAATGAGATGGTAGAAGCAATCTCAGTTTTTTTTGCTGATAACATATATATCATCGTACTTTTTGAGATAAATTCTTTAATTTCATGTACTAATCATGCCATTTGATAAGGCATAGCATTTATTTCTCTCCGATTATTGTATTTAGTATCATGATCATTATTAAGGTGAGGAAGAGCATCACTATTTACTGTTGTATTCGTAATGGATTGAAAGGATGATTGCTGTGACGTTGCATGCGGCCCTATTTTGGGAGAAGAGTGAAGATTATTCATAATTGGCTGTGGCTGGAAAAATGAGGATTGTGATGGTAAATGTTGAATAAGAGTTGGTGAAGGAGGAAGGTCGTGATTAGATGGTGAACTCGGTGGATATGAAGGAGAAGTGGAGGGTGAGATTCGATGATAAAAGGGTTGTCTAAGCGTTCTCGTGTTATGGTGGTATTGTTCATAGCTTTGTGGTACTAGATTTTGGTAGTAAGAACCAGGTGTCGTTATCGATGGTGCTTGTTGAGTCACAGGTGGAGGTAAAACAAGCTGATGGGATCCTTGTGTCTGATTAGCATAGGGAGATGTGCTTGGTGTTCGGAATGAGGACGAGGGTGGATTGTATGAAGGTGAGGAACGATAAGTCGGAGCTCGAGTCGACGTTTGATTCACCGTGGGGGACACCACACTAACAGAGACTGTGGATAATGGCGATGGATGACGAAGTCCAGGTTGCTGATAGTGATGTTGCGGTAAAACCGATCTTTGTGACTTGGATGATGATTGCCAAGAATTGTTGTGATGGTGGTTGTTTTGACTTTTTACAACCTCATGTTCGATTTGCATTTGATTATTTGATTTTTTGTGATATGGCTGCGTTGATTGCAAGATAGATCTAGAGTTATCATCTAATCTTCCAGCGATATCAGGACTTGTAGAAACACCATTGGGCATACTTCCTGGCATTTTTGTTCTAACCTTTAATCTTTTTTCATTAGAGTTATTGTTTATTGAGCCATTATTTGCAGGATCATTATTGGATAAACATATTTCGTCGGTCATTCCATTCTTTTGTCGATCATCTTTAGGCGATCCTTCCTCTTTTTGATGTTTCTCTCCTTTGGCGTTCCAATCTTCCTCTATGCGAATGTCCACTGCCTCATTTGTAGGTGCGTTAAGGTTTGAAGATGGTCCGGGTGCGCGTCTATCGTCTCCCTCAACTACAACTGAGAATTGGTGAACATCATGCATTTGGTCTTGTCCTTTCAATAATTGTAAATGTGGATAGTGTTGTGGCAATCTTCTGAGATCTTTTTCCCTAGGAAGTCTGGAATATTCTCCCGGCGACGCTCCGACACTACCTGGAGTTACAAGTGCTGCTGCTCTCTGAATCTGCGGTGGAACCTGAATATTCCCGATCGTGCTAGCGCGAGGTCTTAAAGATCCACTACTTGATTTCGGTGTTAGAGTAGACGATTTACCTAAAGTTTGTTGAATTTGTGGCCTTTGAGAAGTTATTGGTCCCTTGGAATTAGTGACATGGGATGTCACTGTCACAGAGGGCATTTCATGAGATGTTATTACATTTTTGTGCTGAAGTTTTGGCGAAGTAGTTGCTTTAGTCTTATATTGTGAAGGTGAGGGCATTGAGGACAGATTGGAAGTTGATGATTGTGAAGTGGTAGATGATGAATTGAGAGTTGGAACGGAGGATACACTAACTTTACTGGGCGATTTGAGTTGCATTGGAGGAACAAATTTGCCATTGAACTTTTCACCTGTTATGAATGGGTGTAATTTCGCCTGTTGTGGCGACCACCGTTCAATTGGGTTAAGATTCAATAATCCTTGTATGAAATCGATGAAGGCCAACCGACTTTGCATTTCTTAAATGTAATTGAGCAATTAAACATACTATTATAATTAGATAATAGTCAGTCAAAATAAATGAATTTACCTTTCTCAATATCTTTTTGAGTTACACCTTTCCGCATAATAGGGTATGATTTAATAATTTCCGGAAGGGTTGTGGCGGAGAAATATCTTTTGGAAGGTTGTTCCACGCAATTATTATCCTTCATGTATTGTTCCATTGTTTTCAGACGATATTTTTTTTGTCCGTGCTCATTAATATAACGATCAAAATATTCGTGTTCAGTTTTTCCAACTTCAATCATGTAAGGTGGAGGAACACCAAGCATTTCTACAATCCGGGAGACCTGATTATATTCCGAACTTCCGGGGAATAATGGCAGTCCAAGAAATAATTCGGCTGCAATACAACCGAGTGACCACATGTCGATAGAGGACGAATACCTAGAATGAATGTATTACATTAATCTAAATAATTCAAGGAACCAATATAATTATAACAATAATCAAACAAACACGCGGTGATATTTGAACAAGTGTATTCATAAAGTTTTAGAATCTACATACGGCAATCCTAACAATACTTCGGGACTTCGATAAAACCGTGATTGGATATATGTATAGACTGTCTGACGCTCGTGACAGGCAGACCCAAAATCAATAACTTTAATCGTGGGAGATTCCAAACTACAAATTGAATTGATGAGATAAATCAATTGTAGCTATCTGAAAAATAGAGAAATGACTCAAATATGATTATCCAATATGATGTAACCCACGAAAATTTCACACACTTTTTCAACAATACATTTTCGGGTTTCAAGTCACAGTGAATTATACGTGCTTCATTCAAAACTGTTAATGCGTCCAGCAATTGAGCAGTAAAAACCCTAACGAGATTAGTACTAAGTCCACGAAATTGATTTTGTTTTATCAATTCGTAAAGATTAACAGACAGGAGCTCAAACACTAAACAAAGGTGTCGACGGTGAATAAAGGTGTCTAAAAGTCTTAAAATATGATGTTGATCATGTTTATCCCATGTATTGTTTAGCTGATTGAGAAAAAAAAAATTAGTAAAATCCTAAATGCCTGATATCTTGCAAATAAAGTATAAATTAATTAATTATTTTTTTCTTTTTACCAGCTCCAGTATCGTCACCTCCATCATGCTTTGGTTAAAATAAGCGGGCTTGTTTTTAACAACTTTTACAGCCACCATTTCTTTCGTCTTCAAGTTTTGACATTTTACGACTTGACCAAATGTTCCTTGTCCCAAAATATCTAGTATGAGGTATCTAAATAGTTATCGAGAGAATTTTTTGTTATTTCGATGATTAACTAAGGAAGAAAGAAATTTTTTTTATAATAATTAATATCTGAATCAATTTAAGCGGCTTACTTTTGCCCTTCCTCGCTTCCTAATATGTCGTTAACATAAAGAATATAATCGTTGTCCTCGTTGTCATAACCATCATTTTTCACACCTTTTGAAGGCTTCGTCAAAACACGACGAGGGTTATGTGACAGTTCGTATCGAAAATTGGGATTAATATTATGATATGTTGACGTAAGGTACACGGTCAACGCTTTTAGCGGCTGTGTTCGTTTGTAGATAATAACGAGCCCAATTGTATGTTACCCCATGACACGATAATAGAATGAGGATAACGGGTATGAATTCTTAAGATAATAATATTTTACAAGCTAACAAAATCGCACATACACTGACTGATCCTTTAGCGGAGTCTTTTCGGCGGGATGCAGGTTGAGGTCTTAAGTCCGATTTTGACCGGATTCGTTGAAAAACGGTTCCGCCAAACTCTGGTTTTGAAACATTGTCGCGCGTTGTGAGCGAGGAAGATTGTGAAGGTTTGTTATGAGTGGAAATATTGGAATTTGGAATATTGGGAAAAGGATTAGGAGAAGGCGATTGAGAATTAGAATATGCAGTTTGATAGGTGCTCTGTATAGGTGCAAGTTGACATTGTATTGTCGGGTGTGGCTGCTGTTGATTCGCGTTATTATGCATAGGACGTTGATGTTGCCGAATAGTTGTTATTGATGGTGGAAGCGACGGTTGTTTATGTGATTGTTGTAGTAAATGAGATGAAGGTAAATGTTGATGTGATTGCTGATGTGTTCCAGACAAAGAGCGTTGATGCTGCGAAGAATTTTGATTTTGAGAGGAAGGAACAACCGGATAATGTCCTGATGAGCTTTGGATATAGTTGATTGAACGCCTCCTATTGTGTCCATCGAGGAAATCCTGACGATGAGGATTCTGTGGCTGGTGGTGTGAACGTGAAGGCGAAGATGATGTTACCATTACCGGCATGGAAGGTAATTGCTTCTGCGAGAAATCATCGCTTATGGTTATTCCAACATATTCATTCCTCTCAGTATTATTATTATATTTATGTCCGGGTGATTGCGAATACGGCGTATTCGGGTCGTTACGCCTTTTACTATGTCCATCCATTGTTCTTTATTTTATTATTATTTTTTCTTTTTTTTTTTAGGGGGTACCTATAAATCAAGTAAAATATGTGAGTTCGAGTAATAAAATCTTCCAAGTACGATGTATACAAACGAACCAATCTGAATTTCAGACAAGGAATTGTTTACGCTTATAATTAAGCTTATTCGTTGTTAAAGGCCTGTTTTATTAATACTGGATTTTGAACATATAGAAACTAATAAAGTTCGTTGGATAAGTAAACTGTAAGCGCGTTCTCACGGTAATATTTGGAAGTAGTTTCTTACAAAATCGGGGTCCTCAGCTGAAAAAAATTTACAAGCAATAAAACTAAAAAAAATGAGAAGTATACAGTTTTTAAAAGATTTCGAAGGTTACATATAGACCCTGTATGATCTTAGTGAAAGATTCTACAAATCGCCAAGTGAATGCGAATTGAATTTGAGCTACTTTTTAAGGAGTTTCGCTCAAGTTACTTTCATATTATGTTCGAAAATTATTTTTACTAGAAAGGGAATTTTCATGTTTGATCCCTAAAATTTTAGAACAGAAATCTTATTGGTTAGTTACGATGATCACGTTTTATTTTCTAGAAGTTGTCTACTCTTTCTTTATGAAAAACAAAAAAATATATTACATGCAGTATATACAGTTTGTCTATAAAAAACCTTCTTATAATTTTTTATTAATCAAAATTTTTTTTTGATTTTTTTAAATATAATAAAAACTATTTTTCCGTCCATGATTTATATATAAATATATATATATAAACTTATAAAGATTTATTATTTTATTTTTTATATTCTAAAAAATTTATATTTAAAAATTTATAGCAAATAAATAAATATTTGTTTATTTATTATAAAAAATATTTGTCCAAAGACTTTTTTAATGTATAAATTAATTTATAAAAATCAATTTTTTTTTTGAATTTTTTCTATAGATATTATTTTTTTATTTGATTTATATATTGTATATTATAAAAAAAATAATATTTCTTAAATATATGAAAATAAAATATAAATGAATAAAAGATAAAAGAAAATATATATAATAATAAAATTATTAAAGCTGAAGCCAATTAATTAGACAATAAGATCTATAACAATAAAAATTATATTTTTAAAAAAACCTATATTTCTCTATAGTTGTTATATATTTTAGTAATAAAAAAATTATAATATAGTTAATATTAATTAAAGTTATGACTAAATCATTTAGATTGTAAGATCTAAAATAATAAAGATTATATTTCCAAAAAAGCCTATATATCTCTATAGTTATTATATATTTTGATAACAAAAAAATTATAATATAGTTAATGTTAAAAATAAAACTTTTAATAATATCATTTTAATATTATTTTGATAATTAAATTTATTATAAAATCAATAAATAGGTTACAATATATATATTAAATTTATTATAAATTGATACTATTTTAATATTAGTTTAGTGATTTTTGAAACCCAAGTTAAAGGTTAAACTAAGGTAATTAAATAATAAAATCTATAATATTAAAGATTATATTTTCAAAAAATTCTGTTTTTTTATAATTGTTATATATTTTGATAACAAAGAAATTATAATATAGTTATTATTATTTATTTTTATTATTATTATTATTGTTATATTGAAAAATCAATTTAAATAGATTTGATTTTTATTTTAATGTTTTGATAAAATCTAATTGAATAATTAAAAAACAATAATTATTTAAAAAAAATAAATTAATTTTAGTTTTTTGAATAAAAAATTTTTGAAAATTTGAAATGACATAACTACAATAATATTGTGTATAAAGGTTAACTTAAAACAAATATTAAATTTAATAATTTTATTTAAATGTATTTTTGGAAGAGTATATAGTTTAACAAGTTTAATGATATTAAAGTAAATAATTTTTATAATATAATAAAAATAAAAAGAATATATAAAAAAAAAAACTCTTTCCCGCAAATCTCAAAATTCTTAAAAATTTCTTTTTTTAGTAATACACCCAAAACACTCAAAGAAACACTTAAAGAAGACACCAAGAGAAAAACTTCACAACATCTTTC